GACTGAAGGCTTGAAAGCCTGAGTGGTAGAGACCCCTTGTGGGTGACTGCATGAAGTGCTGATGGCACCATGCCTGACTCCCTCAAAGTGAGGCTTCATTTCTTTTAGCCTTAGCATAGGCAGCCAAAACCAAAATAAGATCTTCAGGAAAGTACAGGTTAGACACAGCCCTAATTGACACTTTCTCTCTGGAGGGCTGCCCAGGCTTTGAGTGGCATTTCCATTGCTCTTTAGGTATGCTGTTTGCATTTATCTTACTGTAGCTGACCAATAACACCAACATTGCCTTTTATTCTAATAGGGCCTTAACCTGGTTTTCCTATTAAACAGAAGTCTTTATTTTTTATTTTAGGATTTGACCCCAAACTTTTCTTTATTTTCCTCCTGGGACTTACGCTATTTTTTTGTGGAGACTTGCTGAGCAGGTAGGTTCTGAAGCTAGTGTGCAGTACGATGAGACCCTGTTAGGCTTTGATCGTATAAACGCTAAATGCTGACATTTCTTAGTCCAGTACCTTTATGACTAGGTCATTATCTGCTTTGAGATTTTTTTTTTTTTTTTAAATTTTAATTGTGATTTGGGTGAAAGTTTACAGAGCAAATTCATTTTCTGTATAGCAGTTCACATACACTTTGTCTCATGACGTTGACTGCAGTTTCCCACAATGCAACAGCTCTCTTCCCACTTCCTCCCCATAGTTACCTCTTCCCTGGGTCCTTCTCTCCCATGCACTCCTGCCCCCCAAACTGTCTCTCTGTGCATACACAGCCGTACTATTCTCCCATGATTGATCTCCCCAAGGAGTATATCTATCTAATGTAAATGTTCAGCTCCTATAAGTGCCTTTTGTTTGGCTGGAAGCTGCAGGAGTGAGTTCAATTCCAGACCTGAAGGACAGCAAGGGGCTGTAGTCTCAGGGGTTCCACCAGACTGTATCAGACCAGCAAACCTTGTCTTTTTTTTTTTTATGATTTTGAGTTTTGTTCCACATTGTTTTTGCTTGGAGATTTTTTTATTACTTTAATTAATGTGTTAGGATTTTTTATTTTCTCGTTATTAATAAGATGGGCTATCATGAAGTTTCCCCCATTAGATGAACCTATCATGTTATGGAATGTAGCCAATACTACAAAGTGGAGCATCATCACCCTTTCTACCACTGGAAATAAGTGTTAGCCCTAATTTACATAATAGGACCATATGTTGATGAGTTTCATGCTGTTCAGGGGTAAAGAGACTTTTAAGTAAGTGTTATGAGTTTTGCTGTTGCTTTTGATATCTTCCACTTATTCATTTCCTGCTTTTAGGGACCTATTAACTAGCGGTGAAACTGACATGTACAAATAGAAAGAAAACATACAGATAACTAAACAAACAGTGAGCAAAGGTAGAAGCAACATTAACACTGTACACAAATAAAAAGTATATTTGTAAAGTAATAAATGAGAGATTAGCAATTGGAGTTTGAAGTTTGGCTGGAGTGGGTTGTTGGAAGTTGTTCCTTATTTTGGGGATCCTAAGAGAAGCTCACAGTGAGGGGGTACTATCTGGTAGAAAGCCTGGAACGGTGGTTGAAGCCCTCTGTTGTAAGCCATGTGTTTGGTTTACCCTTCGGGGCAAGCAGTTCTTTTCTACTTTCCACTGTTCACTAGGGCAGTGTCCTTGCCCTTCCTTATGTCCACAGAAGTTGTGCTGTTCCTCAGAAGAAGATTCTTATGAAAAATTGGGTTGGAAGAACTGCTGGGTGGGGAAGTTGGGAAACTAAGCAGAGTTTTATTACTAGGGTATATTTATTTGAGAGGAATTTGTTGATACTAGAAAGCTCTAGTGGCATAGTGGTTAAAGGATTCAGCTGCTAACTAAAAGTTTGGTGGTTTGATCCCACCAGCTGCTCCATGGGAGAAAGATAAGGCAGTCTGCTTACATAAAGATTTACAGCCTTGGGAACCCTATGGGGCCGTGCTACTCTGCCCTGTAGGATCACTATGAGTCTGAATTGACTTGGTGGCAATGGGTTTGGCTTTTTGGTTTTGTTGATGCTAATCCTTGTAATCTGGCCTCAGCTCCATTGCCCCAGTCTCTATATTTCTATGACCTCAAGATTTTGGTAGATATCTGCTCTAATTTTAATTTTTTTTCCCCACTCTTTGGCTGGGATAGTTGATCTTGTTTTGAACAATGTCATGCATGAAGTACACACATATAGTCATGAACTAAATGTTATCTTTGCAGAAGTCAACTTTTCTACTATTCCACGGGAATGAGTGTGGGAATTGTGGCCTCTCTACTAATCATCATTTTTATACTGTCCAAGTTTATGCCCAAGGTAAGTGGCAGAATTGTTATATACAAGAGGGTGAGCTTGGATAGCTAAAGGACAGTTTGCCTGGATGTTGTTAGAAAAATGAAAATCTGCATGGTGGCTGACAAGCCAACGTGCCAGTCTTTCTTTGATTCAGAAAGATACTTTCCACCATGTAACTTGGAGCCTGATTACATGCAAACTCTTCTTTTATTATATCTATAAAGTGCTATGCTCAGTGTGGATTAAAGTCTCCTTCCTGTTTGCTAATTACATAGCCAGGCTTTTAAGTTATTTAGCATCTCATCTTCCCAGTGTTCTTTGCAGATAGTACCATTTTAAATATAAAGGGCATCTTTTTAAGAGATGTGTTTCTGTGCACTTTCAGTGGGCTGAATTTTTTTTTTTAAATCATTGTTCCATTTTGTTTCTCTAATGTGTGAAAAGCCTGTTATAACTTTTTGCTTTCACTTCTACCCTCTGTCCTAGAAAAGCCCTATTTACGTCATCCTGGTGGGAGGCTGGTCCTTTTCTCTGTACCTCATTCAACTAGTTTTTAGAAATTTACAAGAGATCTGGAGGTGTTATTGGCAGTATCTTTTAAGTAAGTGTTATCAGTTTTGCTGTTACTTTTCATCTGTTTATGGGCTATTTGAGTTCATTTGGTCGTGAAAAGACTGTTGTCTGCTTACAGGAATTAACTATCGTGTTATTTTATTAACTTTTAAAAATGAAAATTCTTCATGTATTTCTAACCTGTCTACAGTTGTTGCTTCTTAAATTAAAATGATGTGGCTAGGGGGATGACTTTAATTTGTTGATATTTATAAGTGTACCTCTCTTTACAACAGTAGACTTCTTTCTGAAAAGCTGTAAATTGATTTTACAAATGTAGTCATATTTTAAATACACTTGGGGACCTTAAGAAGTAAAGAACTCAGTGAATCTTATCTATAAAATGAGACTCCTTTGGTCATACAGATAGTAATCCTTGATTATATCCTTTGAGAGGTGATTAATCTCAATTTTCACTTATTGGTATTTTAAATAGACTATCCCAGAGTTGTTCAAGATATCTTTGTGTTACATTTGAACCAAATAAATTTGGGATGATAGAAAGGACAGAGACATAGAGATAGAAATATATCCCGATGACGAAAAAGGTGTGAATCATTAAGTAAAAATCTCGCCTGATTTCCTGGTTCCATAGATGCTACAGAGTGACTTTCCTGCTGCTCCCCTACACGAATCGCTTTTACCAGGTGGAGAGAAAAAGGAGTGTCTATGACTCTTTTTGCAGGTTATGTCTTCATAGTTGGATTCCTGAGTTTTGCAGTGTGTTATAAGTATGGGCCCTTGGAGAATGAACGAAGCATCAACCTCCTGACCTGGACCTTGCAGCTAATGGGCCTGTGTCTCATGTATTCTGGCATCCAGATACCACACATTGCCTTTGGCATTATCATCATTGCCCTGTGCACCAAGAACCTGGAGTATCCTGTTCAGTGGCTGTACATCACCTACAGGTGACTGAAAGGCAGTGTAGCTTTGTAATGGCATGTGTAACATGGGATGCGGTTGCAGCAAAAGGATACAGAGGTGTAAACCTGGGAGCCTCTTTGTTAATGAAAAGTTTTTGTATTGTCCTTCTGCTTTTGTTTTACCACTCTTCTCTAGACGTGTTTAGCCATTTTATATGAAATAAAAGCATTCAGTAAAATGTTATGTGTTCCTGTTACCACAAGGTGGTGCAAATTATAATACTTGATGCCATATGCCCCAGGTGACTTGGTTTCAGATTACTTCACATTGATGATCTGGTTGTCTGGGAGTCTTGTTTTAAGATGTAACTCAGGGCATGTTATCATGCATTGTGAAAATGGAATGGTTATAGGTTACAGGTTACCATTCTACTGGAGACAGTCAAGATGATGCCTTCAGGTTGAGGAATGGGGTTTACAGTCTTTTGTTTTTTAATATTGTAATTTGGGTGAACGTTTCAGAGCAAATTGATTGTCCATTCAACAACCTATACACATTCTGTTTGTGACTGCAGTTCCCACACTGTAACAGCATTCTTTCCACTTCCTCCCTGCATTCACAACTTCCCTTGTCCTTTCTTCCTACCCCCTCCCGCCTTCCTAGCTCTCTCCTTGGGCAAATGATCTTGTATGCTCATGCTCTGTTGTTCTTAATGAGTGTATCAACCAAACCTCACCGCTGTCGAGTGGGATCCGATTCATGGCGACCCCTCCTTGGGTTTCCGAGGCGATATCACTACAGGAGTAGATTGCCCCACCTTCCTTCTGAGGAGTGGCCAATGGGTTTGAACCTCCAGCCTTCTGATTAGCAGTCAAATGCCTTAGGCACTACAGCACCCAGAACTCCTAATGAGTGTTCACGTCATAGGTCTGTCTATCGTTTGGCTGCCAATTGAGTCACAGAGGTTAAGTTCATTTCCTAGCTTGAAGGGTGTCTAAGGGCCACATCCCACCAGTCTTCATCAGACCAGTGAGCCTGGTCTTTTTTATAATTTTGAGTTTTGTTCCACATTTTTCCCCATTCTACCTAGGACCTCTTACTGTGGTCCCTTTCAGAGCAGTCAGCAGTGGTAGCCAGGCACTGTCTAGTTCTTGTCTTAGTGGACCACAATCTTACACTATCATTTTCTGTTTTTTCCATTTATTGAAAACTAAATAAGTATTGTATAATTTGTTGGAAAATAAGTACATTTATTCACATTAATGAATAATACTGACTGTTGTGACTTGTTGTTCATGCTAACTTATCAAGAGTCTCTTGTAACTAAAGATGTTTTGGCAGAACGGTGAGGGTCTGATGACTGTGAAATGTTCAGCTGTCTGCTGTATGGTTGGCTCATTGAAGGGAGCTAGAGATAACCGGGTTAGGTTACTGATCGGTGATTCATGATGTTATTTTGATGAACACAGAAAGATGTATAAGGCAACAGAAAAGCCTGTCCCTCCTCGTCTTCTGACAGAAGAAGAGTATCGGCTACAAGGAGAGGTGGAGACACGAAAGGCTTTGCAGGAACTTCGAGAACACTGCAAAAGCCCAGATTGCTCTGCTTGGAAGACTATTACTCGAATTCAGTCTCCAAAAAGGTAAACTCTCGGCCAAGTATGCCAAGCATTTATCAGAGTAATTGACCTAGAGTTCTAACAGAGATTATACTTCTAGATAATAATTTTCTGTTTGGAGCTTTTGCTTTCCTGTTAACCTGGGAGTGGTCAAGAGAAAGGTAAATATATCATCATATGTTAGTAGTAGCTTGTTTCCTCCCATCTTGAGAGACCATCGACTCCAGCTTCGATTGTAGCGTTGAATGGGAAGACTCCAATACCAGATTAAGTTTCTCCTCTGATAATTTTCCTTGTTCTCTGAGTGGTGCCCCCCCCCCCGAATTGGGAGCGACTGTACAGTGAGTATGTGAAACTTCAATTTAGAATCCTGATGGCATAAACTTTATAGGGCTATAAACACTAATAAATGTGTAATGTCCCTTAATCTTCTCTTATCAGGATTACAGATGACTAATGGAACCATAGCACTTCCATGACTGAAAAGGATAGCCTAGTGCCTATTAAACAGAATGGAGTTATAGGGGATGTTGGCCTCTGACCACAGCTTCACTTTTGTCAATATTTCTTACTTTAGTCCTTGAGCAAGGACAGTAGTGTTAGCTGGACACAATATAATTTGAGCTATGAGCATATCAGAGGTATCAATTTGTTCTTATTTTGAAAGAAAGAAGAGAGAGCAGATTCCTAGTAAGTATTCTTTTTCTCTTCCAGATTTGCTGACTTTGTGGAAGGCTCCTACCACCTCACACCAAATGAGGTTTCTGTTCATGAACAAGAGTATGGATTAGGAAGCATATTTCAGCAGAATCAACTCTTTGAGGATACATCCTCTGAGGAGGAGAACTCAGATGCTGGGTACCCCACTATCACACAGAACAATGTCATGGCTTAGGTGGTGCTCAGTTATTTTCATGTGAACTGGCTTGATACCTGGGATGATGGTCCATGTTGTGTGTGTTATGCAATTGCCTCTCAACCCTTTGAAATAGAATGAGATAGTACAGGAATTTTCCCACTGAAATTAGAGGCTTGAGTAGGCCTCCCTTTGCAGCTGGGCTAGATGGTCTCTATGGGATTCCTGGGGACAGAAGGTGAGTAAAGTAATGAATGCTGCTGGCAGTTTGCTTCCCATTGGTTGAGCTCTCAGCCCACCTTTATGTTCCCAAAGAAATTGACGGCTAGAATGCCATGCACAGCTAGCATGGCATGCCAGTGCCTCTTTGAAAGGCAGTTCAGTTATGGCATTTCTGCCTGTATTTCCCCAACAGAGTAAGTTAAATATTTGTGGCAGCTTTTGACTGTGGCTGACCATTAGGAGTGAGAACACTGGTCAGTGTAGTAATGTTTTCGGGCTACGGACTGCACCTTCCATAGAGGATCCACAAATCTGAGCCTCTTTTACTTCTCTTATTTCAGTGACTGTAGAATAATCTTTAAGACTTTTTAGAGGAAGATGAATTTTTGTCTGTTTTGTTTTTTAAATAAATATATATTTTAAAATGTCACAACTCATTCCAGAACTAGCAAGTGCTCCAGAGAAGTGAAGCTCACAGTACCCCCAGGTCCCTACATACTTACTAACATGGGTTGTTCCTTAAAGCCCAGGTGCGGTTGTGGTTTGTTGAGTTTAGAATCAACTCTCAAACTTACCGTCTTCTGAGTTCTGCTTGCCTTTAGGGGGAACATGTCTCTGTAGGCTCTTCTTGAGGCTGGCTTGTTGGTCTTTTTGTCACATTCAGCTGTTAATTCCATCTTCAAACCCCATTTGCCCTTTTCCCAGACCATTCCTCCTTAGTTGCCTCCCCTTGCTGCTTCCCTTCGCCCTTTCTGTGGTGACTCTTAACTCATCTGTGAGGGGTGGACACTTAAGTGTTTCATTTCTTATACCCTCTTTCTCTTGGTTTATAGCCTTATTCATGCCAGCGAGGAGAAGTGATCTTATTTTAAGGGTTTAAGTGCTTTTTACAGCTTCTCTATTTTTCCTGCCAGTGGGTCACATACCTTTTGGTTGCTGTGCAATAAAGAAACTGTCTCCTTTTGCTTTCCCTTTCTTCGTCTACTCATTCTCCCCATTCCTTTCAGCCTTTGCTCACCACCTGTACCACCCCCCAAAAAAAAAATCTGGCTAATTTGTAAGCCCTGAAACTATCTGGAAAGTTTTTATTTTATTTTATTTTTAATAAGGTTTCCAAGGCTGTAAATCTTTATGGAAGCAGACTCTCAATCTTTCTCTTCTGGAGCAGCTGGTGGGTTCAAACTGCTGACCTTTTGGTTGGCAGCTGAATGCTTTAACCTCTGTGCCACCAGAGAGCCTCTGGAAAGTTTCTTTGATACACAAGTTGTAGCTTTGCAGCTGCCACAGTTTGCATTGCCAGGAATTGACCTCCAGATTGTCTTCATGCCTCTGGATGTTCATGCAGCCCTCAGGATCCAGGATTGGACACATTCTCCCATGATTTTATTATACTTATTTGCAGTTTTATTTCTGACCAGAGCTTCGTGCTGCCTTTCATTACAGTAACATTAGTTTCACATTCCTTTGCTATTGGAACCCTTACAAGCCCGGCAATGTCATTTATGAGGGGGCAGATTCATACATATCAGTCCTTTGCTTGGTCCTCTCTTCACGATCCTTACCTTCATACCTTGAGAAAGCTGTAATTACTTTAGCCAGTAAGAGAGGACGCTCATGACAAGCACAGCTTCAGCCTCACTGGCTTACCATGACCACTGGGAGGCAGGTGATTTTTTAAAAAAGTTGTTCACAACTCCTCCAGGCCAGCCATTCAGCAGGTCATTTTCAAAGTCCCTGGGTTCCATTGCTGGTTTCCAAAATGTCACTAGTGGCTAGTTGATTTTGCCCACCATTGTTTCTCACAGCTTTAAACGATCCTAAAGTGACAACTACCTCAGTTGGCAGAAAATAGACACACAGTGGAAGGTGAAACATGAGCCATATTTGGGCAGATACGATGGGGTAAAGTTGTAGGGTAAAAGGATCTTTATACTGAGTAATTGGTGCCTTTTTTGAATTGTGTTTATGGTAAAATTTTATCCCTCTATGAAATACTGTTGGACCTCTGAGATGTACAATTTTTGCCTTATTTATAGAAATTGAGACCTAGCATATTTGAGCACACATTGTTTTGAAAGAATCAACTGTATGAGTGGTCTCAGGACTCCCTGGGGATTTTGGTGCCTTCCTCAAAGTCGCTGCTTAGGGAGAGTGGTAGCTTGCCTCTAGGGTGACTTTTCCTGCCTTATCTTTATTTCAGTGATACAAGATTGTGAAGGAGTGAAGAGTCTCCTCTTCCTTTACTAAACTCCTTGTGAAATATAGTTTCCACCTTAAGACCAGTTTTTTTCACTGTGTTTGAATTTGTGGTGAGTGAAAGAAACTCAGTTCATTATGCTGGTATTTGGAGATCTTGAGATGAGGGCAGTAGCGATGGCACTTGGTTCTGCAGCATTAGAGTGCTCTCAGCATTGAAGGACGGTGCTGCTCTGGTGTACCATGTGTCCTTGCCCAGCCTGCCTGTGTAGCTCTTCCCCGGATGCTTCAGAGCTGCCCTGTGCCCGGAGATTGCGTGACTCTACCAGCTCTCTTTAGAAGCTGCTCTCCTCTGTTGGCCACTTAGTCTGCTGGCTCAGTCACTACTTGAAGCCCCCATTTAATTTTCTCTGGCAGTTATAGCTCTTGCAATTTCAGCATAGTTTCGTCTCCTCCCAGACCAATCTCATCAAGAAGGAATGAAGGGATAACGATGGGATGAGCTGGCCGTTGGAGCCAGGTCCATTGCTATGTCAGTGTCTTGCTCATCAAGTATCAAGCTGTGTATCACCCTGGCCCTAGGGCTCAGGGTCTCATCATCATGGGAAATCTCTCGTCTCTAATAGGTCTGACCAAGTTGTGTAGAGCATGACTCTCATTAATGGGAATATAATAGACAAATGGCCCAAAACATTTCCCCTTCACTTTCCCACTCAGATTGCTTTCATGAGACCAAAGGAACACAGTGACCAAAAAACAAGGAAAATTTAGCAACTTTGATACATTCTAATACGAAATTCCTGTTAGCTGTTGTATCCCACTAATGATTTTATTTCTCCTCCTAAATTCTTGAGGAGCTCTGGTAGCATAGTGCCTAAGGCACTTGACTGCTAACCAGAAGGCTGGTGGTTCAAACCCACCAGCCACTCCTCAGAAGGAAGGTTGGGCAATCTACTTCCATAGTGATACTGCCTCGGAAACCCAAGGAGGGGTCACTATGAGTTGGGGCCGACTTGACGGCATACAACAACAACCTAAATTCTTGATTTTTGTCTAGTAAGAAGGGGATTTTTGCTGATGATAGCTCTTTGTTCCAATGTTCTATTTTGTGCTAATATATCCCATTCTAGAGCCCAACCTCTCTTCAGTGATTGTGTCCCTGTTACCTCAGTCCCCAGGTGGCATATAGGATAGAGGTTTGATGAATGTAAGAACTCAAATAGGCCAGATAGTCCTCCTAGTCCCTGATATTCTTAAAAGCCTTGGTAATGGATTACGCAATTGCCCTCAATCTTTTTGTTGTTCCAGAAAAAAGTGGTCTCAGAGGAATGCCCACGTAAAAATGGTTCCTAGCTGTGTGCTCATAACTTTTCTCTGAATTGAGTATTGAAAGTTGAAGTAGGAGGAAAGGAAATTAAATGCCCTTGTAGTACTCCTTTGGACTCAGGTCTGACATATGAGATAATAGCCAGTATTGAAACGCCAAGAATTTTATCTGAACCAAGAAGATGAGAGTCTGACAGATTTATTGTGCCTCCAAGTATATAAGCGCTGAACCCAAGTAATAAATGTGATATAACCGTTGCACAAAGCAAGTGTACACACACCTCTTGCTTCTCTTTCAGTGTGGCAGAAATTGATTATCCTTGTGTGTGTGTGTATGTGTGTGGGGGGAACCTGTGCAATTGAGGTGACCCAATGCTGTCTTTGCTTATAGATCCAGGTTACTATGGAGCTGATTTTTTACATGGTTACTACCTTGCTAAAGGATATTTGGTGCCTTAGGTGATGGGAGCCAGAGCTGCTGGATATAAACAACTTGTTGGTGATAACACTAACATCAACGCATGACTTTAGCAGGATGGGAATTGTTGCACAACCTTTTAATATGTGGGACTTTGGGCTCCCCCATTCTCCACCTCCCCAGCTCGTGTGTCTCGTCTTCCTCTTCACATGCTGGATAAGTTGAAAATGGTGAAATCACCTTTTCTGAACGTTCCTATTACCACGTTAACACAGAAGCTCATAATGTGAGTATTAGAATTGTTAACAGCCTGCAGTTGCCTCAGTCTCCCATGCTTCTGGAATTCATGGTGAAATAGCAGGGATAAAGAATTACTGGGTAGGTTTTAGCCTTACCTACACTAAGATGGTATCTTAGTGTTACTTTAAAAAAAAAAGAAAGGGTCATTGTCATTTATATTGAAAATAAATATTCATGAATGTTTGAGAGGAACACAATGATCAGGGACAGCTCTTTGCCGTGGGTCTCATTTTCACTTACTTTTCTGTAAGAAAAAAAAGATAATGATGTCTTATATATTTTTTCATTTTTATTGTGTAATTTGTAAGTACTCCCAATTTTAATAAAGTTTTATAGACCACATAGTGGTCTCTCTTGATGTCTGTGTACTTTTCTTGTTTGCATCTCTTGTTTTTGGGTAATTAGTAATAGCTCCTCACTTTCTGATGAGATGGTTTCACATGCTACCCATTTTTCTTCAAACCCTTCTGCCCCCCATCCCAGGTCTGTATTGGTTGATTTCTCTCTCTGGTCTGAGTGATTTCCCAGGTTATCTCTAAGGGGTATTCTCCCAGGGATAGCAGGTTATGCCACTGTGCCATCTCTTAGAAAAAAAGTACAAAGGATAGGTTCTTCCAGGAGCTACTTTGATTGTGCTTTAGTTTTGTTTTTTTAGGCATCAAGAGTCCCTGTTGTTGTTAGTTGTCACCGAGTTGACTCTGACTCACAGTGACCCTGTGTACAACAAAAGGAAACCCTGCCTGGTCCTGCGCCATCCTCAGGATCCTTGCTAGACTTGAGCCCATCATTGTAGCCACTGTGTCAATCCATCTCATTGAGAGCCTTCCCCTTTTTCACTGACCCTCCACTTTACCAAGCATGATATCCTTCTCCAGGGAATGGTCTCTT